TATAATCCTTCGAGGATTACGTATCCTTGTTTGAATTTCTTATCATTTTAGATCTCTTTTCTAATGATAACTGTAAAGTTTGTGAGAGGTCTAAATTGGCAGTTACCAGATAATATTAATAAAAACCGTGTGTTAGTTAATGAGATTAATAATATGTAATGATTAGTGTTATCGGTAAATATTAGTAATTAACAGCGAAACCTCGGAAATTTTACAAAATTATGTTTTATAATATTTATTATTTTATTGTTTGTTATTAAAATATACATGTTCCATCGTTGGCACATAGTTCTTGTACATATTTATACTTTCTGGCGCTTATTCTTACATTCATTTATTTATTTATTTCTTTATTTTTAGTTATATTTGCAATTTATTCTTTATTGATTTTGTTTTTATTTCTTCTTGAGTAAGAGTTGTGTATTTCTTAAATCGTATGCGAAATATTTATCTTACAAGTGACAAGAAAAAGTATGTTCTATTACATGTCCTTAACTTACTGTTTCGTAAAGTTTGTTGATGAGGAAATGTTTTAAGTGGTCACGTTTTAAGCTAGAGGATAATTAAACAATAAATGCATTTGTAAATTGCTGCCATTATCTGAGAAGTTTGTAATTATTCATTTATAAATATTCAGTGATTTATAAATTAACAATCATCAGTTTGAAAATGATACAAATACGCGTGAATCGGTATTAAATTTTAATTCCACATTTTTTTGTACTAATGCATTTTTACGTATACAATACCTACGTTTCTATGGAAAGTTACAATTCAAATTAATTGTACAAGTTAATATTTGCGTGTACATGACATATATAAAACATTGTATAAGAACTAGTTGATTTATTTTTAACTAATCGTTTTCATCAAGTATCACCAGAATAACTACACTCCTTGAAGAAAAATATCCGTAGCAAAAATACTTCGCATCTTTGCATTTGATCCACAAATGCAAATATAAACAATTGTATGCACTATTACCTTCGAGTAACATTATGATTTTAATTTATCATGCTTTGTCTCAGTAATGTTAAATAAGACATAGCAGTGCTCACAACCTGCAACAAACATATGTTTAATGAATTTTTATGCAGTTGGTGACCAATGATTTTTACTAAAATTTTATTATACAGTTTTGAATGTTACAACAAATAATATAATAGAATTTTTTATAAACTAATTTTATAGTACAATATTTTTGAGGGAATGAGGAGGTCATTTTATTTGTCATTTTCTTTTTCAATATCAAAGCGTTCATCATACTGAATATAAAATTTCAATTATTAAATTCACACATATTCATTGATCAATTCATTAATTGACATTTTAAATTTAGTGTGACGTACGCTTTCATATTTCAAAAATGTGTTAAATAAAACACCTGCACCGTTCTCTCAAAAATATGGTACTATAAAATTAATTGATACAAAATTCTATTATATTATCTAGCGTAAAATTAAAAACAGTATTATTAAATATTTATAAAAATCACTGGCTACTGATTGTATAAATAACTCTATTGTTACAAAAACGAGAGTCTTACCGCAGTGAAAGTTTCCAAGCAGATAGGAAAGAATCTGCCGGCGTTTATGCTGCATGGCTGCTCTGATCTCAAAATCATCATATTTAAATCTTTCCTGATCATTTTACCAACAAGGTTCATTGGTAAACGGGTCCAAGGTCCTGAATATGCCGCTGTCCCAATTTTCGAACTTTCGTTCATTATACTGCCACAGCTATACGTGAATCCAAACAGTTGGATCAGGCTTCCGATTATATTAAAGGTAAAAAGAAGACGCCTCATTAGAACTATTTGAGCCTACGTACATGCAGTATCATTTTAATTAGATTTCACGGCTTTGAACGTGTTAATTTACAAATGCCAATAAGAAATGGCGAATAACTTAAATAACAAATAACCGAATATGTATTTATTCTTTATTGTTATTGAAATAAAGTGTTATACGAATAATTCCCATCATTCTACAAAGATAACACATTTCTATTTGGCATCGACTGACGGAAAAGGGTAGACCAAAGCGAATCGGATCAGTTCAGATTTAACAGCGACAAACTAATAGTTAAAGCTTAGCATCAACATCATTTTTCATAAATTTTTTATTAACAGACATTCAGCTTCAATACCAGCAAGATGGGTGTTTTGGAAATTTAAATATGTTCTTTTCATAAGCAAGAAACTGAAAAGTGAGAGACATGCGGTCCTCCCCAAATTCCTATCAAAGGCAAACCCTGTTTAGTTTCAAAAACTGAAAATTGCATGAACATTCGTATTGTGATCCCGCGTTGAAAGGAAGCTGTTTTAAGTACCGTCCGTTGTAGCGAACCTGGCATTCTCGTGTCAGTGGTCAGATTCCACGGCGCACGCCTGATTGGTTGAGGCGGTCACGCCCACTAATCGGGCCGCGCGACACATGGTGCGGAGAGTCATTTCCGGACTCGCACTTGGATTTCTTGGAAAGACTATCTCTGCCTGTATAGCATCACGAGTGCCAGGTTCCCAACAACTGAAAGTAATTTTATGAAGTTATTGCAATACAAACCAGAAATACTTCGTAGCATACTAGTCCCAGCAATACGTTAAATACAAGCACGTGCACCAACGATATTATCGTAAATATACGATTGACTTTATTGCAATAATCAATGTTCTCTTGATGTTTGCGCACACAATCTTTAAACTCCAAGTAACATCTGCCCGTGTACTGATACCACTCGATATTCGATTTTGTTTCGACCTCCGTATCTACGCCACCCAAATTCATCAGCCTGTGGCGTAGTATACGAAACTGAGCCGTGATGTACAAATTCACTATGCACAGAAAATTGTCGAAACAAATGAAACATATACCGACGTGATATAAACTTAGCACCTGCGCAAAGAGAGAGTTTTTCGAAATCGTTATTCCCTTTATTTTGAATGAGACTTAAGATTAATCTTTTTCTATTCAAAGTGTCCATGATTTTTCTTTAATGTAATTACTATTGGCAGGTTGTTATTATTTAGTAATTGTAATAATATTAATATTATTATTAATATATAATATTATTTTTAAAGAATAATATTTATTAGTAATATTTAGTAATAATAATAATATGTGATAAATATTACTAAATTATTATTAACATGAAAAGTTATAATAACGAAAGTTTAGATTACAGATTTGATACATTGGTCGACGGTGTCTTGGATTGTAAAAATTGAATATGTTCGAAAATTTACTAATATTTTTAGTTGCTTCGAGGCATAATAGTTAGTTTGAGGCCTAATTACCTGTATGACGTATAATATCTCATATTGTGGACTATCGGACAGAGGCAAATCGATCCACATATTAAAAAGTAGTATTCTGTCTGAGTGATTCCTTCCCTCATTTTCTGAAATGCAAAGCACAGATGCCGGAGGAAATCACACTTTCGACGTGCGACAGATTTTTGTATTGCAGATTTGAAATCGTAGGTAATTAATTATTCGCACAGCCTCTCTATAGAAATTCACAAAAATGTAGGAATACGTAAGGTCGTTCACAGTTTCCTACTTACTCTTTGTGTTTTCAGTAGAGTTTCAAGACGTGGGCAATAAAGAAAATTGTTCTGTCAAAAGGTATTCACTTTGTTTATACTTACTTAACTCACAAGTTAATACTACGTGTGAGATACTATAATACTACGTAGAAAGTGTTAATCTAAATAAAATACCGAACAGTGCTAAGCTAAATGAAGAGTTTCAAAATGTGTGTTAATTACGGGAACAAATAGACTCACCAAGAAAAGACGTCAGGACATAGCCAGAAAGTGTACCATTTAAACAAATAACAATCATTAGAGTGGTCGCAATGCACAGTTTCTTACATTGGATTATCACCACTTGTTCCACAGGGTTGTACTTAGAAAACCAAACCTTATCACGTGTGTATATCACCAATTTGATAAAGTCCTCCCTGTAGAAGTATACAAGCAACAGCTTCGTCGTAACCAATATTATGCTCAATAGGTTACATGCGACGTATGTGCAATGCTGAAACATGGGAGGTGTTTCATCCCAATTTAAATTAAACAATTTTATTCTGATTGTTAAACTTTTCACTAATTTCACCTTTAGTTATTACTAATCTATAATTATTTATAATTTATATGTTACTTGATTTTAATTCTTTCCAAATATTCTTAATCCCATGCACTATAATATCGTATAAGACTCGCGACGATTTCAAGCTGAATTTCACAAATCTAATCATTGTTTAATTTTAGTTCCAGTTAACAACATTTGATGAGTATACGGGTCATCTTAAAGCTTGAAATGATACTATTTCTTTCA